TACACACATGTACAGTGTGGGCATCCATGATGAGGACAGTTGCATACGTGTGCAGTGTGGGATCCACCTACAAAGGTGGTACTCATCCCTCTGCTTCTGTCTCTTTAACATGCTGGGGGCTGCTTTCCAGTGTCCTAAGAATCCTAAGAGGCGAAAGGAAAATTGAAAATTGAAAACTCACTACCATTTTGTTAATAGTTTAAATTCTGGTCTTCTTTCCCAATGGATATGTTCAAATTACTTCTCAGAGTGTTAAAAGTGGCTGCTACATATGTCCCAGCCAACGCTGTAAAGCTGCCTTAGGTGGAAGAGCCAGCATGATGCATGGTTCCTGCATCACCTGCTCAGGAACCTCCCATAAAGGAAACCAAGCGGCATCACTAGAGACCCCTGGGGGCTGGAGATGGCTCAGCAAGAGCACTTGCTCCTTTTGCAGAGACCCAGGTTCAGTTCTCGAAACCCTCATGGTGGCTCGCAACCTTTTGTGACTCCAGTTCCAGGAGATCTGATGCTCTCTTCTGGCCTCTGAAGGCACCAGGCAAACATGTGGTACACATACATACATACATGTAGGCAAACACACAAAGTAAAAATAATGATAAATAACTTATGTTTTAAAAAACTACTGAGTTTTTAAAAAGTAAAAGATAATTCTATGCCCTCCTATGTGGTGTCACCAGAGCACACATCATCAGATTGAGGTGATTTTCCCAAAACCATCCCAGCTATACCTAAAATGACCCTTTAAAATCTGATTGTTCAGTTTACAGAAAATTTAGTAGATAGAGGAATATGTTATAACATTATAACAACATTATATAGAGGCAAATTTCTAGATGCAGAATGTAGGTAAGTCTTCAGGACCCTGGTTCATCCAAAAGTAATTCTAAGGTTAAACATGGAGGAAAGCAGGGGGGTGGGGCAGTACACTGAAAAAGATTTCAGAGATGAATTAATCCAATGCCATGTATAGACTGTTTTTTCCCCTGACTCTAGCTAAAACCATTCTTTAAAAATATTGAGATAATTGATATCTTAAATTGTGATATGACATTTGATGATATCAAGGCATCACTGCTAATTTTTAAGGTCTGAGAATAGTGGTTATTTTTTTATCCATATATTTTAGCAGCACATATTATAGTTTATAAAGATTAGATTAAGTTATATCTGTGGTTTGCTTCTACTGCTGCTTTCAGGTGTCCTGGACTATATTTGTCCCACATTTGATGGCCTCCTGCCTGTCTCCCAGTGAGGCAGAACGTGTTAGCCAGGCTGTATGTGTGATCATAGAGCCTGTCAGAGTCCTGCAGAGCCAGCCAGTTGTCTCCTGTCTGTCTACATGCAGCTCAGCCTGACTCCTTTTGTCTCCTCAGTCAGCCCATGAGTAAACCTGGAGGACCCAGACCTTTTCTATATATAGACTGTGGGAGCTGAGAGTCACAGTGGGAGAGCTTCCCCCAGTGCTCCAAAGTGACATCCTTGAGACTCCTTAAAGACTCCCACAGAACCTGCTTTCTTGGACATGTACCTGGCTTGTCAAGGCTGTCGCTGGGTCACTGTCACATTCTGTCTTTGGCCTTCTTCAAAGAGCTCACGTTCAGAGGGGCCAGCACTAAGTATCCTCTGACAACCCACTCCTCCCTGCACCCATATGTCCACGGCTTCACTCTTCTGTGTTCAGTGTGGCTTCCTCTGCTTTGCTGTGACAGTCACAAGAGGACACGGTATTGTGTGGCCCACACCTATGTACCCAGGGCCAAATACCTTGTCACATTCAACCTTAGCACATATTAGACAAGACTTCTCAGGCTTTATCTTATGCACTATTGATTTGGTACCCACCTAGTGTTAGCTCTTTCTGAAGAGGGACTCAGTTTGTTATTAGTGCCTACCAGAGTGACCGAATCAAGTAACCAATCAAGGGGATAGATGGGGAAGACAGGAAGACTTGGATAGCAGTCCATTCTTAACATACAAAGGCTTCTTCATCCTCTTGGGTTTTACATATGCTTGCAGGGTAGATACAGGTCTTGCCTGGCACATTAGCTCCAGGTCCTACTGTTCTGTCAGATTCTCATCCTCTGTTTTTAGTTACGATGCCAGACAGCATTCAAGGTGCTGCCTTGGGTGTGGAGATTTCAGCTGGCATCCTTGACTCAAGGGTCTTCATACAAATACCAACAATGTAGAGCTGTCGTTGGGAGTGCTGTGGGAGTCAGGGATGGGGAAACCACTCCCCTCAAGGCTTGTCACACAGTTTGTTGGGAAGGTGAGAGGCACAGAGGATAGCTACTACTTAAAATACAGTCCCATAGGACATCCCAGGGTGAGAGCCGAAAGCCATACTAGACTACTTCCAGGACATATGAACCAGTTTTGCACAGAGTTAGTTTGTGAGCTGTATATGGCATCTCTACAGCGTGGCCATGCTTTCCATGGATGCTCTCATGGGTGAAATGGAGACAAGACAAGGTTCAGTAACTTGTCATGGTTATATAATTGACAAGTGGCAAAACTAAAATATTAACTCAGGTGGTTTAAACGCCAGGGCAAA